TCCCTGGCAATCTCTCTAATAAGGGGAGAATATGTGCAGACCTACAAGCTCTGTATAGTTCGCAGTGAATAGAACATGTGAATTATTTTCCACTTCTCCTTTTCCACAGATGTGAGGGCAATCTGGCTGCGACATCTGTCACCCCATTGATCGCCAGGGTTGATTTGGCTGATCTGGCTGGCTAGGCGGGTGTCCCCTTCCTCCCTCACTGCTCCATGTGCGTCCCTCCCGAAGCTGCTGGCTGAAGTTGGTCAATAGCAACAGACTCTTTTCAGATGTTCTATTTCAGAGCCATCCTATATTGTCTTTGTATAGTTATGCCCCAGTTCTGTAGCTCAGCACCAAGTTCCTCCACTCAGTACCTTTTTTGGTCTTTATCAAAGTCTCTTCATTTAAAACAACAATAGCGACAACGAAGAGGAGTCTGTTAGTTGAGATTAACATCAAAGTGTGCCTAGGCACACCTGCCTCTGGCTTTTGCTTGAATCCCATGCTTTGTTTGGGGGATTTATTTAAAACAAGCATTAAAATTTAAGGCCTCTCTCAAATCCTCATCCTCTCTCTAGAAGCTGAATCTTGTGCCAAATATGTCAAAGCAACGTTGCTCTTTATCTTTAGCAATATGGAACAGGCAGGAGTTAGAAACATGTTGCTCAGAGAATCTCCCTGAAAATGAAGCCGTTTAGGTCCTGGCCTCAGACCTGAATTAAAACAGCTCTTGCACATGGGAATCTGGAAGTGGGATAGATTTTGGGGTTCGCTAGTATTTGCTGTAGGGACACGGTGGCTCAGTGGCTAAGACGCTGAGCTTGTCGATCAGAAAGGTCACTGCAGTTCGGTGGTTCGAATCCCTAGCGCCGCATAATGGAGTGAGCTCCCGTTTCTTGTCCCAGCTTCTGCCAACCTAGCAGTTCAAAATCAAGTAAAAATGCAAATAGAAAAATAGGGACCACCTTTGGTGGGAAGCTAACAGCGTTCCGTGAGCCTTCAGTGTTTAGTCATGCCGGCCACATGACCACAGAGACGTCTTTGGACAGTGCTGGCTCTTCAACTTTGAAACAGAGATGAGCACCGCCCCCTAGAGTCAGAAACGACTAGCACATATGTGCGAGGGGGACCTTTACCTTTACTATTCGCTATGTAAGTAGGCTGACTGGGTGGGCTGGAGTAGAACAAAATAATTCAGTTGTGGATCAACCCAACTTTCCTTTCTTAAACCATTGCAGGAATTGGTGTGCCTATGTGGTATCCCGGACTGTGAGCTGTGTGGTGGAGGATGGAGTCGACACATACGTGAAACCAGATTATCAGCCATGTGTTTGGGGACAACTCCAGTGTCCTCGTGTTGTCACGTGAGTGAGGGGCAAGCAGGGAAAAGGGTAACACCTGTGTAAGTCACTGTAGATCTCTTACCATTCCCACTCATTGCAGAACGTGTAGAATTGGGTTTGGACTGAAAACACCAGTAGGGCAACAGAACGCATTTATCCCCTACTCAATCGCATTGATCCCAGCTTCACTGGCAGGTTGGCTTGCTAGCTGGGTGGAGTAAGAGGTCATGACTTCTCTGAGCAGATGAAGGAGAGAGGTTGGATGCCTGTGGCTGTTGCCTGGCGTGTGCCCAGTCCATCAGGGAAATGGCACTGATCCCAGTGCCAATAAAAGTTAATGGGCCGTGCACACAAAAGTGATCTGCTGCCTCCTAGTGGTGATCTTCAGAATTGTAAGCTTTTTACTTCCCAGTGTAGACTACATCTGAAGGATTTCTGGTGGCCTCCTACTTAAGCATTAAGCAAGTTTGACCAGTTATTGTCAAGCCTCTTTGTCCAGGAAGAGGGACCAACACTTGTTCAAACCAGAGGAACTTTTAGCTTTTTCTGAGGAATATATGCAGCGAGCTGTGAGTGTCTATGGTTGAAAAGAACGCTAGAGAGAACCACTTCACCCTAAGAAGGGATATACGTAATGCTATCAGTTTGCTTACAGCTGCCTGCCAAGAATATTATTACTTCTCCAAGCAAATGGCTAACCCCAAAAAGACTCCCGCCCCATTTCTTACTCCAGGCACAAATTCTCTTGGCTCTTTCTTCTACCTGACAGGTACCGGAGTTTTGTGCGCCCCCGTTATAAGGTGGCCTACAAGATGGTCTCAGATTTGGAGTGGCGCTGCTGCCCTGGCTATTCAGGTGATGACTGTGCTGAAAGCGGGACGCTCCTTACTACCAACCGACCACGTCCTCAGCCTGGTCGACCCAACCTCTCTGGCTTTGGCAACCCACTCAGTGGTGGTGAAGGTAAACCGAAAAGGTGTAAATAAAGTTTCCAGTTTGCTGTGGTGGTATGATTGCTCTCTTTATAAAAAAATACCTACATCCCTCCCCATGTGGTAGCTCCCCACCACCCACCACCCACTGTTTTCCTGGCATAAAAGGAAAGCTCTGAGATGAGGAAGACAGGGAGGCAAAGCATAGTTGCAGATGTGATCAGCACATGCAAATGTATGTATATGGAGCAGAAATCGTAGCATTTTGCCAGCTTCCTAAGAGATGGACTCTTTAAAGATTGCCTTTTGAAAGATTGATGGCTGCTCTGGGTTTATTAACTTGGCAATCTTGCAGCACATCTTCACAGATTCTCACTTGGTTGGCTCCCAGCAGCAGCAACTCCTCACTCTGGTTTCCCCTGCCACAAACCTCTTCCCAGATTTTCTCAGCCTAAATGTACATTAGCATGAATTTGATTCCTTGCATTGGGTATTTTCCCATGCTTCTTACCCCTGGGGGAATCTCCATGAAATTGTCAGAGGACACGAGCTCTTCGATGGGTGCAGAGACTCCTTTGCTCACTCCGTGACAAGCTGCACCTGTCAAATCTCTTTCAAATACTATTACAATCCACCCGGCATCTCTGCAGCTGCTCATTATTGAAGGAGGCTGATGGGGAAGATAAGCACCAGATGTGGGGAGATTCTGTCTCTCACAAGATTATTTTAAAGAGGCTTAAGAAGATGATTTTAAAGAGGATTCAATAAACGCACAGAGAGAAGAGATGTCCTTAAGTTTTTCCTTATTCAAATGTAGTGCATTTTGGAAGACCAGATGTTGGAGGCAAGTTATAGTGCAGAGCTGTCAAACATGTGTTCCACGGGCCAGGTATGTTACACGCTGGCCACACCCACACCCAGTTTAGCAAAGGGGGAAAACGTCCTGATACATCACATGATGATGTGAGTTTGACACTCGTTATAGGGGAAGCCATCAGCTTCTTAGAAATACTAACCAGCCCATTCTACTGGAAGAAATATTGCTAATGGGAGCTTGGGGCATAACCCAGCAAAACTTTGTATTCTGCAGTAGCACATTACCTGGCCATAAGGCTGAAAAAAGCTATTAATCTTTTCTTTTCTTTCAACTGATTTCCAGGAAGGAACTTTTTTTCATTGGGGTATAATAACTTTATTCTAGAATAACTTAAAATTATATGTTGGCCTGGCTAGTTAATAAAATGTATTGTCCTCACTGGTGATTACAATGAAAAGATGCTGGTTAATGAATAGCCAATGACGTGCGTTTCTCACTCATGCTGCCCAGAATTGCTTAATCACGAGATGGGTAGCATATAAATGTAATAAATAATAGAATCATACTAAAATACTCCCATCTTATAATTACTGATAAAAGCTGGTTTTGTCGCATTGACATAGTTCTCCAAAATTGGGTGGGGTGGGGAGGAGAATAATATCAACACCTCATGGTTCTCTGTCATTCTATGGGGGGTGGGGGCTTACATTATACAAAGGACTGGTGTAACATGATATTAAAGAGCATTGAGATGCCAATGAAAACTGTGTGTAAAGGCTTATGTGATTTGTGCAAGAATATTTCAAGACCCCAAAAGCCCACTTTAAGCTTTTCTTAATGCAATTTTGGTTTCAGGAAAATGATCTAAGCATTTACTTAATTCATAGGCCTCTTTCTGGCTATCTTTCCTAGTCTGGAGCCCTTGGAGCTTGGTTGGTCACTTGCAGGTGATTCATTATTCAACTAGGTAACACCAGTGCAACAAATGTGAGCTTGCTCGGTTTAGCAGACACAGTGAAACATCTGCAAGCAAAGAGCCAAGCACCAAGAGAGGGCACCAAGGCATTACACTCAGTGGTGTATTAACCATTAAGCAGACTAAGCACATACTTAGTTAGGGCACCAGGCCCAAAGGGGGCACCACAAAGTTGAGAAAGAAAGAAAAACCCAATGAAGATTTGTACAGTATGTGCAAAGGAGGAGGGGGCACCAAGATTTGTCAGTGCTTAGGGCACCAGTGAGCCTTAATCTGCCACTGACTCCACAGCTCAACCCAGAACTCCATATATTCTTTTTCTATTGGTTTTTCTCAATATAGGGCATCTCAAACAGAAGAGTGGGATTAAACTTCAGTCATGGCTTGATCATTGGGGTTATACACACTGCTGCCCTCCAAACAAGAAGAGGGGAAGCAGGTACAGGGAGGCTGCTGTAAGAGTTAAGAAAGCCACTCAGGTTTAAGCTCCCTGCCCTTTTGTCAAGTTGATCCTTTCAAGCCAAAGGTCCTGATGCCCTTTTCAATCTCTCCATTTAGGACACCGGGACTCGGCCAAAGTCCAACAGCTGGAAGAAAAAGTGCAGAGCCTAACCAAGCAACTACAAGACTTGCAGTCCACCATGCAGGCCAATAACGCCAAGCTGACCGAAGATGTGCGCCGGGCAGCTGAGAACGGCAAACAGCAGCCAGCGGACGCCGCCGCACACCCGGAGATGAAAGAAACCCTCAACGAGATCCAGCGCCACTTGCAACGCCTCGACAACCGCATCGCCAACCACGAGAACGGGCGAGGCGCGGGCGGCGGCGGCGGCGGGACGGACGTCCGAGGCGAGGTCCTGCGCGAAGTGGAGCGGCGCTTGCAGAATTCCTGCGCCGCCTGCCTGAGTGGCGTGGAGGCGCTGAAGCGGCAGCAAGCCGAGGACCGCGACCGACTGCGAGCTCTGGAGAAGTTGGTCTCCTCCCTGGACCAGCGGAACCGCGAAGCCGTGAGCGGCGTCCAGCAGCAGGTGAGCCGCCTGGCCGAGCAGCTGTCCAAGGCGTGCTGCCATCAGCTGGAGAGCCGGGTTGGCGAGCTGGAGCGCGGCTTGGAAACGGTCTCCGATTCGGTCGCCGCCCTGAACGAGCACGCGGGAGGCCGGCCGCAGCCCTCGGCCCAGCCGCAGCCGCCCTGGAACGTGGACAGGCGGATGACCGAGGTGGAGAGCCGCGTCAACACCACCCAGCGCGGCCTGTTGGAGCACTTGGAGGACGTGCAGGTCATGCTGCACGGGGCGGCCGACCGACTGAGCCGGGCCGAGAGGCAGCTTGACTTCCTCTTCTCCCGGCTGAACGACTTCCAGAGCCACGTGGGCCGAGCTCTGGCCAACCTGTCGCGGGACGTCGGCGGGCTGAAGGACAGCAGCCTGCAGCAGCAGGGGGCGCTGGAGAGGGTCCGCGTCTCCGTCCACGCCTGCACCCAGATCTGCACCGAGCCGGACAACCAGGACTCGCAGATCAGCAGCATCTTAAGCGACCTGGAGCGGCGCGTGCTGGACAACGAGGGCCAACTGCGGCTCCTGGGCTCCAACCTCCACCAGCTCGACATCTCGGGGAAGTTGCGCAACTTGCAAGGCCTGGTGGGGTCGAACAGCGAAGCCCTCGGCAAGCTGGCGGGAGAAATTGGCGAGCTTGAGAACCGGGTGGTGATTTCCATGAGTGCGGGGCCGCCGGATTTAATCCGCTATTCCAATCGCACCAATCAGCGCTTGGATAAACTGGAGCAAGGGGTCGAGAGGTTGGAACACCATCCCTGCAGCCAGAGCTGCTCCCAGCTATGGGGAGAAATGGTGCAGCTTAGGGAGCAGGTGGAAAGCTGTCGAACAGCCTGCCGGCCAATGGGGGGAAAGCCAGAACTGGGTACAGAGGAAGGGGAGACTTCCAAACCTTTGGATGGCTTCAGCGTGATTGGCGGCAGCTCTACGGTCCACCTTCAGTCGTTGCAGGGAGAGCTCTCCGAGGTGATCTTGGGCTTCAGCTCGCTCAACGAGACCCTGGCAGGGCTGCAGGCCACCGTGGAGAAGCACGAAACGGACATCCACGAACTGGGCACGACCAAGGATCGCATCATCACGGAGATCAACCGCGTGCAGCAGGAGGTGACGGACCACGTGGGCGAGAGTGACGGGCGCTTCCAGGACCTGGGTCATGAGATCCAGCGGTTCAGCGGTACCCTGCAAGTGGAGGCCTCAGACTGTCGGAGGGCCTCTGGGGGTCTGGCAGAACGGCTGACCAAGCTGGAAGGCACCTGTGAACGACTGGACCACGTCTCGGGGAGCTTGCGCAAGATTAAAGAAGGGCTGGACAAGCACATCTCGGCCTTGTGGGGCTGCATTCATGAAGTGAATGGGACTCTGCGCAGCCACGGCGCCTTGTTAGAGAAGATCCATGGCAGCCAGTTGGGCACCATCCACCGCCACCTCAGTACCCTCAATGGCTCCCTTCATACTCTGAAGGGTCAGCTGCATGACCTCACCCTGCAGGACTTCACAGGTACTTTCAGCAGCTCTGATGGGGAAAGGTGGACTACTAGTAGTAGCAGTAGCAGTAGCAATAGTAGTAGTAGTAGTAGTAGTAGTAGTAGTAGTAGTAGTACTTCATCTGAGGTAGGAATCAAGGTTGGTGTAGTACAGGGTAGTCTTCCACTTACCACCATAATTGAACCCAACGTTCTTTTTGTTAAAAGTGAGAGACATTTGCTAAGTGAGTTTTGCCCCATTTTACGACTTTTCTTGCCATTGTTGTTATGTGAATCTCTGCAGCTGTTAAGTTAGTTACGGGGGTGGTTAAGTGAATCTGGTTTCCCCATTGATTTTGCTTGTCAGAAGGTTGAAAAAGGGGACCCACGCCCTGACCAGTGGTGGGATTCAGCCAGTTGGGGAGGAACCGGTTGTTAACTTTCCGAGCAGTTTGGTGAACTGGTTGTTGGAAGAAATCATTAGGGCAGAGAACCGGTTGTTAAATTGAATCCCACTCCTGCCCCTGACCCACGGGACACTTGAGTTAGTTGCCAAGCATCTGAATTTTGATCATGTGACTATGAGGATACAGAAATGTGAAAAATGGTCATTAGTCACTTTTTTTCAATGCCATTGTAACTTTAAATGGTCACTAAATGAACTGCTGTAAGTCGAGCACTACCTTTATATCCTGACCATCTTCCGCATTCTTATGAGGTTTCTATCTAGAACAGTGAGGCTAACCTTTTTCCCATCGCGTGCCAAAAGTGGGGGGAGCACCGGGGGGGGGTCGTGCACGGGTATGCCCACACCCATAATACTATGCGCATGACACCCCCCGCGCTCATGTGCGCGCGACCCCCGCCCTCCTACTGCTTTTGGCGCGTCATGCACCTGTTTTTTGCCCTCCTCAGGCTCCAGAGGCTTTCTAGGAGCCTGGAGAAGACGAAAATGATGCCCCCCCCCCCGAAGCATCTGGAGGGAGAAAAACAGCCAAATATGCAAACTGGAAGTCCATCCCCAAACTCCTGGTTTGCGTATTGGGTTGTTTTTCACCCTCTGGAGGCATCAGGAAAGCCTCCGGAGGGCGAAAAACGGCCAAACATGAAGGGTGAAGTCAGCTGGCCAGAGTGCGCATGTGTGCTGGAGCTGACAGGACAATGCCTCGCGTGCCCTAACAAATGGCTCTGTGTGTCACACGTGCCATAGGTTCACCATCACGGATTTAGAATGACTGTCCTTTGTTCTGAATTTCAGGCCCTCCGGGTTTTCCAGGCCCCATGGGAAAGCAGGGCCCTCCAGGCCTGATGGGACCTCCTGGCAAGGATGGAAAGACTGGCATAGAGGGACCTCCAGGTGAGAAACTTAAGTTCAATTGCTCTTGGTGTTGTAGCTTGCACCTTTAATAATACAAGGCTCACAAGAAGATCAACATTACTGCTTAGTCAATGCTGTATCTCTTCAAACTCTCTCATTCCCTTTGATTCCATAGTCATCCTTGCCAAATATATTAGTGATAAGAGTTTCGGGCGCTTCCCCAATTAATGATTTTCAGAGAGGAGAAAAACAGCTGCAACAAGTCTAGTTCTTGGATTAAGCAGATGTTCTTACAAGGATATTGAGATTGGAGATTTTTTTAAAATAATGGTTAAGGCTTAAAATACAAGGAAGGTCTAGATTAGGACGATAATGGGAAGAATTGTACCAGGTTACCCTTGTGGGTATGCAGTGTGCGGAAGTGACAGTTGCCAAATCTTCAACTATGAACTTAACTAGACCTCCCTAGCAATCTTGATGCATCTAAGGGCAAGTCCTCTTTATTTGACCTGTAATGTTAACTTCCAACACTGTATAGTAAGTATGAAGACAATCCAATAATAAGTGCAAGACACTATAACTTATCCCACCTCATGGGTATATCTGTATTCATGTGACTCCTTTTTATTTCCTTTGCAGGGTTCCCTGGAAAACAAGGTAATAAAGGCCAGATAACAAGATGTGGAAGAAAAGTAATTTCTATTTTTGGAGGAAACTGAAGGCTTAAACCTAGGAAATTAGAACTACTAAGTCCTGTGTTCTATCTAGTTTAGAACTGGTAGCAAAAGTGCTCAAAAATCTCTAGCTGAAAAGGAGTTAAGCTTGGTTAGTAGCGGTATGACTTATATACTTTACTACTGCGCTATGATAAATGGAAGTCTCCTTTTCAGACAGTTTATTCATCTCCCGTTTCTGTAATGTTATGGGGTAGGGATGGAGTAATGGAAGAAAACGGAGGATAAAATTTTACAGGCTGTTGCTTGGATTATAGGCGCTAGGGGAGATCACAGTTTTGATTGCCATGTTTCCTATAAATGGACCAATGTGATTAAATTGAAAATCTGGTAGATTAGGATAAGGTAGAGGGAGAAAGAAAGCAAGTATAATAGAAGGTGATTCTTTCTCCTCCCCATTCTCTTGCAGGACCACCAGGTCCACCTGGAAGAATGCCCAAAGTCGCCTTTTCAGCAGCTCTGACAACCTGGAATTTCAATACTGGAACCATCATCTTTAACAAGGAGCTGGTGAACGATGGCAATTTCTATAACCCACGCACAGGTCAGTGAATGTAAGATGAAAAGAATGTATGGGATGAGATGATTGTCCTAATAGCACGAAGGAACAGCTGGGTCAGACCATTTGTTTAGCATCCGACTTCCCATGGAAAGGTAATAACCTACCAGATACATTAGGATGAACCTGAATGCTGCAATCCTTCACTACGGTGCCACTGAATTTTAGCCACTAAAATTCAGCATGCCATCTCCACTGCTGAAGTTGCATATTGCCGTTGTGATTGTGATCAGATGATAACAATAAATTTCTTCTTCGGGCTCTTTTTTCCTACCAAATCATGCCCTAGCCATGTCTGAAATTGTTGCCAGCTCCTAATGTGTACTCTGTAAACTAGGATTAATTTTTCTTCGCCCAATGGTTCTCTCCTTTTCTTCCTTCAGGAACTTTCACAGCTCCTGTTTCTGGCCGTTATCTGGTCAGCGCAATTTTGACCGGGCACAGAGGTGAGAAGGTTGAGGCAGTGCTCTCACTTTCCAACAGGGCCATTGCCCGCAGCGACTCAGCTGGATATCAACCTGAAGGACTGGAGAACAAACCAGTGGCCGAGAGCCAACCAAGTGCTGGTGCTTTGGCAGTCTTCACTCTCATTGTCCCCATGGAGTCTGATGATACCCTCTGTGTGGACCTCGTGTCTGGCCAGCTAGCCCACTCTCCAGATGAACCACTGACAGTTTTCAGTGCCGCCTTGCTTTATGAGGAAGATTTGGGGGTCCATAGGGTTCCTCAATGGGGGTAGAAGCAACCCAAAGCAACCCGCAGCCCAGCAGGAAAAGGATACCAAGGAACCCCCAACTTACACCCCAATAATGCCTCCATTCTTCCCTTCTGGGCTGGTGCCACCCAGTGACAACTAGGATAGTAGAGGTATAGTGAATGATTACGGTGTTGGACTAGGACTAGGGAGAAGCAGGATCAAGCCTTCTCTTAGTCCTGGAAATTCATGGGGTGACTTTGGGCCATTTACTCTCCTTCAAGCCAACCTACCTCACAGGGTTGCTTTTATGGAGATAAAACAACAGGAGTTCCCCATGGAAGCCGCCTTGAACCTTGGTGGAAAGGCAAGGGATAAATCTAATAAATAAATTGGCAGCTTTGGCTACCCCAGAGTTGAAGCTGTCAGCCGAGTTATTGAGAATTCAAGTAGTCTCAAGCAAACTTTTTGCTGGCACTTTCTATTTCCCTCCTGCCAGCCCCAAGGCATGAACCATGGGGAGATCCTGCCTCTCTAAAGCCCTGTAGGCTACCTTATGGGTGAATTACTACCCTCTGCATTGTCTAGGGCCCAGGATTTGAAAAAAGCCAGAAAGTGCAGCTGCCTAGACCAAGAGAACACATTGTCTAGGACAGTGATGGCAAACCTATGACATGCATGTCAAAGCTGACACATCACAACATTTTGAGTAACACACAGCAGAGTTTACGCCAACACTTGACAACCATTCTCAAAAGCATGCCCCATTCTCCTGCAATTTTCAGAGATTTTGTAGGTCAGGCAAGATTGAAGTGTGGTTTCGTACAGCCTCTGGACCCTACAGAAGTCAAGCAAGAGGGTGATACTCTTACACAGCCTCCTAAGCCTCTGAAAATCATGCAAGAACAGGTTGTGTTTCTGTGTGATTTCTGGAGGCTTTGAAAGCCACGGAAGAGCATTCTCCAAAGCCGCTTCAAAGCCTCACTTGACTGAAGCAAAGTCAGGTAGGCTGCAAGAGCCTGTTAACAGGTCGAGAACATCCCCTAAAGGTAAGTGGCACATACAGATATTGGGGAATGTTAGGCCACGGGGATAATTCTGCCATAGCCCGAAACTCTTGTGCCTTGGGAACTGCTCAAGGTAGGCTTTATAAGTGGCAGCGGTGATGCTAGGGATGATGTTGAGGCCTAGGCTAATGTTCAGGGAGGCCTATATGGGGTTAGAGAATTATTTCTCTTATGTTTGGTGTGTATGTATGTGTGTGAGTGAGTGAGTGAGAGAGAGAGAGAGAGAGAGAGTGTGTCAGCAGAGTCAAGTTAGGTATTTTCAGAAGTTTTGACATGTCGAGCCAAAAGGTTCGCCATCACTGGTCTAGGAACTAGCCCTTCCTTACCTGCCGTGGGATGGAGGGAAGAATCCTTTTTGTTATTTATCTGTGTCTGTCATTCCCCAGAGAAAATGCCCACTGCTCCTCTCTTTGTGCATCACCAACTGACTCCCTGCTTTGCCCATATTTTCTCGCAACCTGAGCTGTCTCATCTAATCATGTCCGCTGCCAAGCTGCCAAAAAAACAGGCTATCTACCGTACTTGATATAGATTTAAGAGCCCTGGGTTCCCACACCACAAAGCCACTAATTTCTACAATAAGCGAGGAAGAAAGAATCTTTTGCAGCCATTTTGGCAGAGTTATGAGCTGAGGAAGGTGGTAGATGAATGGAAGAACTCCCACCTCTCTCTGTTTCATCCCTTATGTATATGCTGTATAATGGCTAAACTCAGCTAATGATATAATTATTGAATAAAGTTTTTTTTTTAAAAAAAGGATGCAGCTTTCTTTTCATTTGTGTGGCATATGGCAAATTCAATCATGTAAGAAAGTTAGGAGGAGGAAGATTATTGTTCATTCTTCCCCTGGGGTGGCATCTCCAGACAGACTGGAGGGGCTTCCTGTGGGCGGAGCCTGTCGCCGAGGAACTCAACGGAGCTCCTCTTGCAGTTCTGGTTTGTATATCTAATTA